GGAGCAGCATCACACTGGAGTACACAAACCTTTCATAGAAAAGGACTGCCCTCTGCTGCCTGCTTCCCACCAGCAGGCTAGTCCTGAGGGGTGGAGGATACAGGCCTTGGGGTGCTAGAACACTGTCTTATAGCCTCCAAGTTGTGGTACCCTATGAGCACTGATTGCCTTCCCCCAGTGCTGAGCCTGAGGGCTTCTCTACCCCTCTGTGGAATGTATATGTTTTCTTAAGAGTTTGTGGGAAGCTCTAATGCTCAGAGCTACACAATTGTGAATCTCTTTTTGAGACTTTGTTTTGATTAGTATATTAAGCTACTTGTGCTAAGACATCCAAATTAACAATGGTTGAAACAAAAATTATTTTTTCTCATATAAAAATTCTGTTCTATAAAGTCCTCAGGGCCTAGGTACTCTCTCTTTCCTCTGCTGTCCTTGGGGTATCACTCCTGTCTGCATGGTCTGAGATGGCTCACCCCCATAGCTGTCTTCCAGCCCACAGGATAAAAAGAAGGCATGTTAAGGATGTGACCTGGATATGGTACACTTCAGCTCTTGTATTGGCCAGAACTTAGCTGCAGCAAGGCTGGAGAAGATGCTCTTTAGTAGTCACACAGCAGCTCAGAATGCTGCCATCCTGGGGATAAGGGAAAATGAGTTTGGGGGTAGCCAGCAGGCTCCACATATCAGGCCCACTGTTTCTCACTTTTCTGGTTAGAAGTGTCAGTTGTGGTTTGGCTGTTCTGCGGCCATATCATGGCAGGGCGCCCTCGGCTGCTGTTGAAAGAGAAAAGCTGTTACGCAAGAACGTGCACCACATAGTCCTGTTTGTATACATATGTGTGAAAGTCTGAAAGAATACTAATAGTGCTTTTATCTCAGGATGAGTAGGGACAGCTTTTATTATCTTACGCTTTTCTGCATGTTGATTTAAGTGGGAGAAATTAGTAGAACTCTTTCACTTTGAAAAGGGGAGGCCCTTGTTTTGACCTAATCACATAGAGTAGAACGTTGAGATCCTGATCTCCCTTTTGTCTGTGTGGTGAGTCTGAAAATGTTTGTGAGGATCCCTCTCACAGAGCTTCTGGGAGAGAGTGTTCTTCCTAGGCACACGTCCTCATTGGGTTCTCAATTGTCTACAGATAATCCCCCAAGCCTGAGAGGCTGCTGAGGTCCAGCCTCAGCAAGGAGCAGTGGACTGTGGCCCACCAGGCCCAGGTGGAGAGAGCCATTGTGGATATCAGGTTAACAGAGCCCTAAAGCTCACCCTGGGAAAGTCCCTTGGCACCACTGACAGCATCGACATTAGGCCTGGATGGTCCTTTGTTATTACTCACTAAGACCTTTATGTTCCTGTACTTTCTCCAAATAGCAAAGTGATTACTCCTTTTATCTCCTCATACTTAATTTCATAATTCACTAAAATCATAAATAGTTGATAAGAGCTTTAAAAAACTCAGTTTATTTTTCCTCTTCTTTTCCCTTCCTGAAGAATTTAATCCAAAGCCATTAGTGAGACTGAGCAAACTTGGCATCTGCCGGGAAGACAGGTGGTGGGATGTTGGGGAGAGAGTTGTGGATAGTAGCAATATCACATCACAGAGTGTCAGAGCCTGGGCATGGTAAATGGGGTTTATGTTGAAGGACTTCCTGGCACAGCGTGTTGAGGCCTAATTAGGTGGAGGGAGGATGACGTCCATGTTGGGGGTTTAGTGGTGGCAGCGGCCTGTCATGGGTGGGGTAAGGATGGCATCCACATGGGGTGTGGCCTAGCCCAGGGCAAGGGGTCATAGCCCTAGTGAGGGGAAGGGAAGCCTTATGGGGTGGAGGTAGACAGGAGCAAGAGGAGAATGGTTATATATAGGAGACCAATCATGTAAGTAAATACATTGTGAATAATAGGATTCAGGCTTCTCATTATCTGAGAAAGGGAGTACAAATAGAGAAAGGAAACTAGATTGAACCCTGTGGTATACGATTAGAATTGGAAATGTTTGTGTGAATTCATGGTTCCCAACATCTGTAGATAATAGAAATGTAGATATAAGTGAGTATATGTCTATCTCCATCCTTGTCCAGTGAGACAGCCTGGGAGCAGTAACACACCAGTATACCTGAACGCATCCACCACCTTGGACTTTGTTTTTATTTTATTTATTTATTTATTTTTAAAGATTTTATTTGTTTATTTGTCAGAGAGAGAGACAGCACAAGCAGGGGGGAGTGACAAGGAGAGGGAGAAGCAGGCTTCCCACTGAGCAGGGAGCCCAACGTGGGGCTCGATCCCAGGACCCTGGGATCATGACCTGAGCCAAAGGCAGATGCTTAACTGACTGAGCCACCCAGGTGCCCCTGGACTTCGTTTTTAAATACCATTTACCATTGCAAGGAACTAGAATTCTTTGGGGGAAATGGCTGATTTTAAGGGCAAGGAGGAACCTGTAACATCTTAGGCTGCCAGAAAGTAAGCAGATGTTCAAAGGGTGATCGGAACATGTCAAAAGTACATAGAGAATACAGACCATCTTGAAAGGACTCCTCCTGGCCCAACTTTGAGCAGCTTGAGCATCAGAATAATTAACATAATGGGTTTTAATGACTTCCAAATAGGAATCCAGGGATCCATATTGATATAAATAAATGACTGAATTGATTAGGAATGGACTTTTACATAGTCTGGAGGTACCACTCTGTAAAGTATAGGGAGAAAAACAATGACTTGCTCAGTTGAGAAGCTTGGCAGATACCACTATAATCAAGTGATCAGAATGAGCCTTGCCTAAGTACTGGGACAAGTTGAAATCATGTGCCTAACCTGATAGGATACAGTGTGACAAACGCAGCATTTCTGTCATAGTCCTCCTGAAGCATAGCCTGCATTTATTCATCAGGAAAACAGAAAAACTCTGTTTTATAGGGACACCCTATAAAATAATTGGCCCATAAGTTATTCAAAAGTATCAAGATCCTGAAAGTTGAGGAAAGACTGAGGACCTGCTTCAGAATGAAAGAAACTAAAGAAGTATAACTAAATGCAACACGTGATTCTGGACTTGATCCTTTGGGTATAAAGGACAATTTTGGAATAGTTATAGAATATGAGGATTAAATGGTGGTACTGTATCAGTCAGTTTCCTGATTCTAATGGTTGAGCTGTGGTCCTTGTTTATAGGAAATACTAAATTATTCAGGGGTGATTGGGGATGCCTGGGTGGCTCAGTCGGTTAAGTGGCTGCCTTTGGCCCGGGTCATGATCCCGGGGTCCTGGGATCGAGTCCCACATCAGGCTCCCTGCTTAGAAGGGAGCCTGCTTCTCCCTCTCTCTCCTTCTGCTTGTGCTCTCTCTGTCAAATAAATAAAATCTTTAAAAAATAAAAATAAATAAATTATTCAGGGGTGATAGAACCTCATGTCAGCAGCTTACTTTCAAATGGTTCAGAAAATAATACTTTATATTATTCTTGCAATTTTTATGTCAGAATAAAAAGGTTTTAAAAATTAAATATATCTTCCATATATGGCTATAACATGTCAGCCAAGGTCCCAAGAGAGATTAAAGCCTTAATGACATGACATTTTTTGTATGTAATAATTTATTTCTTATACCTCTAGAATGGAGTTAACTTGGGGCAGAACTGAGAGAAATGGTCACTGAAATAATTTTTCAGGAGGTTTACTTGTCTCATAAAATTCCATTTGAAAAAAGCCAGAGGTGATGATGGGCATTAAGGAGGGCAAGTAATGTAATGAGCACTGAGTGTTACCTACGACTGATGAATCACTGAGCTCTATCTACCTCTGAAACTAATAATACATTAAATGTTAATTAATTGAATTTAAATAATTTAAAAAAAAGCCAGAGGGAATAATAATAATAAACATCCATTAACCCAAAACCCAACTGAAGAAATTATCATTTAGGGGCGCCTGGGTGGCTCAGTTGTTAAGTGACTGCCTTCGGCTCAGGTCATGGTCCCAGGGTCCTGGGATCAAGCCCCACATCAGGCTCCTTGCTCAGCAGGACCCTGCTTCTCTCTCTCCCAGTCTCCTGCTTGTGTTCCCTCTCTTGCTCGCTCTCTCTCTGTCAAATAAGTAAATAAAATCTTTAAAAAAATTATCATTTATAACCACATTTGAAGTTTCCTGTGTGACCCTCACTATCCCTCCCCTCCAAGAGATAATCACTATCCTGGATTTTTTATTTATCATACCTATGTGTTTGGGGTTTTTTGTTTTTGTTTTTTTTTTTTAAATAGTTTGGTCATGTTTATTTCTGTTTTACACCCTTTTATCTTTGGTAAGCTCCTTGTGCCAACGACCTCCTCTTTCTCCTTTACAAGTTTAGTAATTGATATTAGAGCAGTATATATATATATATATATATTTAAAGATTTTATTTATTTGAGAGAGAGAGAGAATGAGAGCACGAGAGGGAAGAGGGTCAGAGGAAGAAGCAGACTCCCTGCTGAGCAGGGAGCCTGATGCGGGACTCGATCCCAGGACTCCAGGATCATGACCTGAGCCGAAGGCAGTCGCTTAACCAACTGAGCCACCCAGGCGCCCAAGAGCAGTATATATAATAGGTACTTGATTATACTTGGTAGAGAAAGTTCTGTGGTCGCTAAGTGAAGACAGTCCATTTTGTAAGTTTGTAAAGAGCTCTGAAACATGAATCTATTTTCAGCCACTATTGAACACCACAAAAGGTAAGATATTTTCATTTGCACCAGTGACATTGTTTTAGTGCTGGTGCCGTAAATCTTAAATATTTAGCATATAAATGACCATCACAGATGTTAAGTTAGGTTTTTATGTTGCTAATATATACTTAGAAAAGGGCTTGCATATGCCCCTTGCTTTTGTTACTCTCTTTTAGTTCTAATAATGGGAGTAAGTCTAGTATGTTTTATCACTTGGAATGTTGGATATTACCACAAGTAGTTTTGAAATATAACTTTATATGGGCTTTGGACTAACATCTTTTTTAAAAAATATTATAACAGAAATCAACCAGACTATTACGAAGTGGTTTCTCAGCCCATTGATTTGATGAAAATCCAACAAAAGCTAAAAATGGAAGAGTATGATGATGTTAATCTGCTGACTGCCGACTTCCAGCTGCTTTTTAACAATGCAAAGGCCTATTACAAGGTAAGAAAGCATTACATTTGGAAGGTATCCAATTTGATAATAGTTTGGCTTTTTAATTTTTATCAGTTTAGTAGTGTAAGTAGTGCGGTTTGAGTTTGTTACCTTTTTTTTTTTTGAAGGTTTTATTTATTCATTTGAGACAGCAGGAGCAGGGAGAGAGGCAGAGGGAGAAGGAGAAACAGGCTCCCCATGGAGCCAGGAGCCCGATGTGGGGCTCAATCCCAGGACCCTGGGTTCATGATCCGAGCTGAAGGCAGATGCTTAACCAGCTGAGCCACCCAGGCGCCCCTGAGTTTGTTTCTTTTAAGAAAAACTGAAGATTCGTATAGCATGTACCATTTTTGTTTCTTTTGTGTCTGTTAAGATCTTTTGTCCATTTTTCTCTCGAGTTGTTTGTCATTTTCATATTTATTTCTAGAAGTTTTTTTAATATATTCTAGATACTAATCCTCCTTGGTTATATTTGTTACAAGTATCTTCTCCCACTATGAGGCTGTTTTCATTCTTTATGGTGTCTTAATGAAACAGAAGAGTATTTTAACATAATCCAATTTCTTACTCTTTAACTTTGTGGTTTGTCATTTGTGTCTTGTTTTCAGAAATCCCTCTTATCCAGAGATTATAAAGACACTCCTGTATTTTCTTCTAAAAGTTTAATAGTTTTGTCTTTCACATACAGGCCTTTACGGCAGCTCAGGTTGGTTTTTGTGTCTTCTGTGAGATAGGGTTCAATTTTGTTTCCTAAAAGGGGTAAGTGGCACCTTGAAGTGGCCACATCCTCTTCACAGTCATGTGCACCAGCAGTGCTCACAGTGCTTCCATATCCTCATGGTCCCTTTCCAGCCTTTAGTCTGTTCCTTTTGTTTTGCCCAGTTTAGCTATTACTCGGCTCTTTTATTCTTGCCTTAATTATTATGGCTTTATAATTCTTTATCAGGTAAGGAAAGCACTGGTTATTGATCATTCTTGGCCCTTTTCTTAATATGTTATGTTAAGTCAAGCATGAAAAAAATTGTTGGAGATTTTATTGGAATTGCATGGACTCTGTGGATCAGTCCTATTTTGGAGAATTAATGTAATTGTGATATTGATTATTCCAGTCTTTGAATTTGATGTGTCGTCGTTTTTTTAAGGCTTCTTTAAGTTATTTTAGCAAAGCTTTAGATGTTTTTTTATTGTCTGCAAAATGCAAAGTGTTATTAGGTTTGTTCTTAATACTGTGTAATATGTGTGTATATATATATTTTTTCTTTAATTGAGAATAAATTTTCTTTAATTGAGAATAAATTCGTCAATTATTTTTTTGGCGGATGCTAATTCTTTTTTTTTTTATGTTCAGTTAGCCAGCATATAGTACATAATAAGTTTTTGATGTAGTGTTCAATGATTCATTGCAGTTGTGTATAACACCCAATGCTCATCACCACACATGCCCTCCTTAACACCTATCTGGGTGTTTTAAAGTGTAGATTCAGGGGTGCCTGGGTGGCTCAGTTGGTAAAGCGTCCAACTCTTGACATCATCTCCAGTCTCGATGTCAGGGTTGTGAATTGAAGCCTGTGTTGGGCTCCACACGGGGCATGGAGCCTACTTTAAAAAAATAATAATAATAAAAAAGAAAGTATAGAATTCAGGGGTTTTTGGCATATTCACAAAGTTGTGCAACCATCACTAATATCTAATACCTAACTCCAGAATATTTTCATTACCCCAAAAATAAAACCATACCCATTAACAGGTGCTCTCCATTTCCCCTCCTCCCTGCCTCTGAGAATCACTAATCTATTTTCTTGTGGATTTGTCGTTCAGCACATTGCATATAAATGGAATCAAATACTAGATGGCCTTAGGTGACTGGCTTCTTTCACTGAGCAGGTCTTCGAGGTTCATCCATTTTGTAGCATGTATTAGTACTTCATTCCTTTCTATGATTGGATAATGTGCTATTATATGGCTGTACCACACTTTGTTTATCCATTTCCCAGTTGATGGGCATTTGGGTTGTTTCTAGTTTTAGCTATAAAAGTGCTATAAATTTTGTGACTATGACAAGGGTGCTATTCATTGGATACAAGATTCTGCCTGTGTCCATCAGACCTAGCTTGTTAATTATGTTGCTAAAATCATTTATATCCTTACTGAATTATCTGTACAAACTTTACCAAATGAGGTGTTTTAAAATCTCTCAGATGATGGATTTGTCTGTTTCTTCTTAATAACTCTGTTGATCTTTTGCTTTATGTATTTTAAAACTGCAACTGGGAGCATACAAGTTTAAAATTGTTACATTGTCCTGGTAAATTGAATTTTTTTTTGCATTATGTAGTATCATTAGTAATGTCTTTTGTTTGAAGTCTGTTTTATCTGATATTAATATAGTTCTATCAGCTTTTATATTTGTGTTTATCTAGTTTATTTTTTCCCATTCTTTTCCTGCAACCCTTTCATGCTAACGCACCCCTTGCAAACAGCATATGCATGAATTTCTATTAATATACGGGTGATAATCTTTTTACCTGGAATTTCATCTCTTTACAGTTTTAGTAATAACATTATATTCAGATGTATTTCTGTCATCTACATTTCCACTTTCTCTTTATCTCATTTTGTAATCTTTTCTCTTGTTTTTCTTTCTGCCTTCTTTTGGTTTCATTTTGTTATTCCCTCTTCTCTACAATTTGGGGGTTGTAAAATCTGTTGATACCTCTTGGTTCTTATTCAAGAAGCTTTAATGTGCATAATTAACTTACTAAAGTCAAAAGTTAATCAGCATCTTAAACCTCCTTCTAAACAATACAGAGACCTTAGAATAATTCAACTCTGATCTGCTGATGTTTTGTATTTTAGTTCTGTCATGGCAGATTTTTTTTTTTAATTTATTTTTGGGGTGCCTGGGTGGTACAGTCGGTTGAGCATCCGACTCTTGATTTTGGCTTGGATTGTGATCTCAGGATCCCTGGATCAAGCCCTGCAAGGGCTCTGTGCTCAGTGGGGAGTCTGCTTGAGGATTTGTTTCCCTTTCTCCCTCTGCCCCTCCCCCTGCTTGCATTCTCTCTCTCTTAAATAAATGAATCTTTAAAAAAAAAAAGATTTTATTTTTAAGTAATCTTTGCACCCAGCATGGGACTGGAACTCACAACCCCAAGATGAAGAGTCATACACTCCACTGACTAAGCCAGCCAGGCACACCTGTTGTGGCAGATTTTTAATCCCATAAAATAATGTTACTGTTTTTTTTTTTATTTTTTTAATGTTACTGTTTTATAGATAGTATTTGTTTTTACTCACATTCTTTTTTTTTTTTTTAGTTTATTTATTTAAAGTAATCTTTACACACAACATGGGGCTCAAACTCATGGCCCTGAGATCAAAAGTCGCATGCCGTTTTGACTGAGCCAGCCAGGTGTCCCCATTCTTTTTTCTTTTATTGCCATCAAGAAGTCCTCTGTCAATATAATTTTAGTTCCTTTAAAGGTTAGCTCTATTTTCTTTCTGGCTGTCTTTGGTGTCTTGTTGTCTCTTGTGTTCTATGGTTTCACGGTGATGTGTCTAGATATGAATATCTTTTTATTAGTATAGTTTGGGAATTATAGGGCTTTCTAAATCTTTGATGTTTTTCATCAGCTCTGAGAAGTTTGCAGCTGTTCTGTCTTTACATGCTGCCCCTGCCGTGCTCTCTCTCCTGCTAGAACTCTGGGTGTTCTATTAGAGCCCTCTCACATCTCTGTCTCTCCTAACCTTTCATATTCCCCTTTTTAGTGCCTGTGTTGCTTTTTAAGTAATTTCTTTAGTTCTTCCAGTTTTCTTTGAAATCTGCTCTTAAACCATGCTATTGAGTTCTTACATTTTAATATTTATATTTTTCTTGTTTTGGAAGTAGTTTCTTTTTCAGGGTTTCCTGCAATTTGCTTATATTTTTCAATCCCATTGTTTCTTTAAAAATGTTCAACGTACTTATTTTTCATTCTATGGCAGACAATTCCAATATCTGAAATACTTGCATGTCTGATTTTGCGGTTATTTCTGCTGGCTTTCTTGTGTGTTTCATGAATTTTAACCTTGAGCTCATATTTCTTGGAACTTGATCTCTAGAGATTGTTTGAGGCTTAGATCGAAGTTGGGTTCATTCATTTTAGTGTGTTGCTTATCCCAGGCACCTGGCCTATCTTTGTCAGGGCTAGCGTATGATGAAGAGTTCTCGGAGGAGATTCATCCCATGCCTCTCCTCCCTGCAGTGCTATGGTTTGAGATAAGCACAAGTTGAGCTGGGTGGAGGTTGAGGTGGGTAGTGTTGTTCCCGGGCATCACAGAAACTGAATTGTTTTGAATTCCCACTTACGTTGCAACGGTGGCCTTTGGGTCCCAGCTTCTGGTGGGCCCTGCCCTTTAGATCCTGTCCTGGCAGCCTCAGAGAGAGCCTTGAAAACTAAAGCGTAGGTTTATCTTGTCTTACTCGAGTGAATGTCAGCTTCAGTGTTCTGCATGCTCATCTGGGTTCCTGCTTTTACTCTTTTCTTGCTCTTTTGAGCATTGCTTTGTCCTTACTGGCAGCACCTGGATGCATTTTGAAAGTTTTGTTTTTATTTATTTATTTATTTTAACATTGCTTCCAGTATTGCTTTTACTGGAAAGTTTCAGTTAGAGGTTATCCCTGTTATACTTTAGGAAAAGAAGTCTTTAAATAAAGTAGTAAATAGCTTAAAAATAGAAGTAATATTAGAACAGTCATTAGCTTCTTTTTTTTTAATTTTTTTAATTTATTTCTTTGAGAGGGAATGAGAGATAGAGCACATGAGAGGGAAGAGGGTCAGAGGGAGAAGCAAACTCCCTGCTGAGCAGGGAGCCCGATGTGGGACTCGATCCCGGGACTCCAGGATCATGACCTGAGCCGAAGGCAGTCGCTTAACCAACTGAGCCACCCAAGCGCCCCAACAATCATTAGCTTCTATCCTTTACACTTACAGCCCTTAAACTGGGTCTTATCTTTTAAATTGCGTGTCTTCATGTATGAGTAATTAGTGTTAATTTTTTTAATTTAATTTTTTTTAAGATTTTATTTGTCAGAGAGAGAGCACAAGCAGGGGGAGTAGCAGGTAGAGGGAGAACCAGGCTCCCCGCTGAGCAAGGAGCCTGATGGGGGACTCAATCCCAGGACCTTAGGATCATGATCTGAGCCGAAGGCAGACGCTTAACTGACTGAGCCACCAGGTGTCCCTATTAGTGTTAATTTAACAAATCATTTATCTTTTGCCTCAAATCTTAATGTAATGAGATAGTAGGGCATAAATAAATAAAGTAATATGATTTCAGAATGCCTTTAAAACATATGCTTAGTTCTTCAGAAGAGGAATTGAGGCCCATGTATCTTTTAGTCATAAAGATTTCTAAATTTGGGGTCCCCTGGGTGGCTCAGTTGTTAAGCATCTGCCTTCAGCTCAGGTCATGATCCCAGGGTCCTGGGATCGAGCCCCACATCGGGCTCCCTGCTCAGCAGGAAGCCTGCTTCTCCCTCTCCCACTCCCTCTGCTTGTTTCCTCTCTCGCTGTGTCTCACTCTGTCAGATAAATAAAATCTTAAAAAAAAAAAAAGAGATTTCTAAATTTGTAGTAGGGGGTTCAACATTAATGTTTTAGAATGCTTTAAAAGTCATTGATTTACAATAAAATACTAAAGTGAAATTTTTTTCTCTTGTCTTTGTTAATTTGTACAGCCAGATTCTCCTGAGTATAAAGCTGCTTGCAAACTGTGGGATTTGTACCTTCGAACAAGAAATGAGTTTGTTCAAAAAGGAGAAGCAGATGATGAAGATGATGATGAAGATGGGCAAGACAATCAAGGCACAGTGACCGAAGGAGTGAGTGTGTAGCTGGGATGAGTAAGAGGGACCATTGGGAGGTGGACAGGGCCCTCCTGCCTGTGATTTCTTCTGTGCTGTTATGGGAAGCTGGGCTTCCTGTGGAGTTGTGTTGGTAACTAGGGGAGGGTAAGGGGGCATATGAACAGAGAGCCCCACTCCCAATTACAGGGGATCCTAGGACATCCTGGACAATGTTGCCATGAGTTGCTCTTACGTTGATGCATATTTCCTGCTCAGTTTTAAGGAGGACCTTCATATTATCAAGGACTATTCCAGTATTGCTGGATTGAGATATCTTATAAGAGTAGTCAGTGTTATGATTAAATGTTGGAGAGTCATTGGAATCACTTTAGGAATATTTTTTTGTAGATTATGCTGCTGCTGTTCCTAGAACATGCCAAATGAGCTCCTGCCTCTAGAATTTTGCAGTTGCTCTTCTTCTTAGGACGTGTTTCCTTTGGCTCTTCCTGTGACTGGCTCTTTTTCATGATTCTGATATCACTTAAAATAATGACAGCTAGGAGTGGACTTTCCTGACCACCTGTCTAAATTGTTTGCCCTGTAACCCCTCCTTTCCCATCATCACATCACTGTTCTATGGTCCTCGGTTTTTTGTTACTATATGTGAAATAACTTGTTTGTTTACATGTTTATTTTCTTTATTCTTCCAAAGAGAATGATAGCTCCACAAAAAATACCACCTTATGCACCTATTCCTGGGCATCTAAAACTGCCTGGTATGTAGGTACTGATAAATACTTGATGAATGAACACACATGTTAAAAAAGGAAAAAGGATAATAAAAGTAAGGACATCTCTCTTCTCTAGCTAAATAGTGAGATACCCAAAGCAGAGCATTCCTTTGCTTCCCTAGGTTAACCTAAATAGACCTTCTCCTGAAACTTCAACACAGAAAAAAGTGGTCGGTGAATTTCTCAAAAATGTAAATATTTCGGGGCGCCTGGGTGGCTCAGTCGGTTAAGCATCTGACTCTTAGATTTGGCTCAGGTCGTGATAATGGAGCCCCGCATTGGGCTCTGTGCTCAGCGTGGAGTCTGCTTAAGATTTTCGCTCTCCCTCTGCCTCCCCGCCACTCACACACCCACGTGCTCTCACTTTCTCTCTTGCTCTTAAAAAAAAAAAAAGTAACTACTTCTTGGAGTCTCAAAATCTAGTTCTTAGGTACCTTGTCAATTTCTTTCTAGCAGTTAAATGATTAGAATTAGGTAGAAGGCAATTAACCAGGGAGTCCCTAGAATTTTATTCTCTGGTATTAATATAGGAACAGCAGTTAACCCCATGCTTTCTTGAGCAGAACATTACCTACAGAGGGCTCAGTCTTCTTATAGGCCTCCAGGGTTCTAGTCAAAAATGAAACCGCCTGCATTTAGGACTTGCCTGTGTTTCTTTGGTAAGAAATTGGGAGGATCTTGCACCTTCATATTTATACCTCCCAGGGCTGCTTCTTGGCCCTAAGTTCTTGTGAAGGGAGAGGGAATTTTCAAGCCTCTCATTTTTAAATTCAGAATGATTTCTTTGGAGTTTTCCCAGTTGTGGAAATACGTTGTATGAATGCATTCACACACCGTGCTCTAGGTCATCTACAACACATGTTTCCAAGGTAGCTGGTTGGGTTGGGAGGAGAGGAATCTTGGCTGCAGAATATACTCTCCTCTTTTTGAAGCTTACTCTGTGGTACTGTGTTTTAGCCAGGAAGTAAATGACTGAAGCATGGGTATTTTAGTCTGCTTTCATCAGTGTTTTGTTGGTTCTCTAAGCTTATGTGGTTGGGGACTCTCAGCTAATCACATGGTTTATCTGTTAAGTATTTGTTATGTGTCTGTTACTGCCAGGTACTGTGCTAGGCTAAGAGATGTTCGTGCTCTCTGTGGAGTTAATGTTGGACCTTAAAATTGAGACTGTACCAAATAAAAAAGATCTGTTAGATGAGGACACAAATACCAGTGCTTTTATGATTCGAGCGAGAAATACCATTAACCTTTCTTTTATATGTACAAAACATGGTTTGGACATGAAGTACATTTTCTAGAACTCTTTTAAGATTTATTTATTTTAGAGAGAGAGAGTGAACGTGGCGGGGAGGGGCAGAGGGAGAGAATCTCAAGCAGACTCCCTGCTGAGCGTGGAGTCCAACACGGGTCTTGATCTCACAACCCCAAGATCATGACCAGAGTCAAAAGAGTTGGGTGTTTAAACAGTTGAGCCACCAGGTGCACCCATTTTCTATAACTCTTAACTCAAACATGCCAATGCTCACTGTAGAAACCAGCTTCAGACTCAGACCATTCCTGACCAAGTACTGTTTGGGGCATATACTTTCCCATGTTGAAATAGTGACTAAGGTAGGAACAAGTCAGCCAGTCTGCAGGGCAGAAGTAATGTGCATCATTTGATTTAATCTCCATTCATTTTTTTTAAATTTTTTATTGTTATGTTAATCACCATATATTACATCATTTGTTTTGGTGTAGTGTTCCATGATTCATTGTTCATAACACCCAGTGCTCCATGCAGAATGTGCCCTCTGTAATACCCATCACCAGGCTAACCCATCCCTCCCCCTACCCTCCTCCCCTCTAGAACCCTCAGTTTGTTTTTCAGAGTCCATCATCTCTCCTGGTTCGTCTCCCCCTCTGACTTACTCCCCTTCATTCTTCCTCTCCTGCTATCTTCTTCTTTTTCTTTTTTCTTAAAATATGTTGCGTTATTTGTTTCAGAAGTACAGATCTGTGATTCAACAGGCTTGCACAATTCACAGCGCTCACCGTAGCATATACCCTCCCCAATGTCTATCACCCAGCCACCCCATCCCTCCCACCCCCATCTCCATTCATTTTTGAGATAGCTTGAATTCTGTTGTTAGATCTGACGGAGTACCCCATGGGTAGAAGTATATATTTCCAGCTTTATATACATCCTTGTTCTACCAGAATATTAGGACTTCAGTAGATAGGAACAACGATGTAGAGAGAGTCAGGTATCATGGGACATGTTTTCTCTGTCTCGGTTGCTCAGACCCTAAAAAGGTTTGCATTTCCATCATTTCATATATATGGCACTTGAATTTCACTGTTACAGTGTTTACTGTGGAGTAGAGTTCAGTAAAAAGACCTGATCCGAGGGATTTAGTTACTGAAGTAACATAATGAGCCTCCTTAGGGAGGCCATTCTGGGGATACAAGCCCCATGTCCAACATCAGAGTGTTTCTATGGTACTCTTGAAACTTACTAAATAAGCACTGTTTACAAGTTGCTTTTTTGAATTAACTTTAACATTTTAGCATTGATTTTTGGATTTCTCTCACAGTCCTCCTCTCTCCCTTCTCTCCTTCCTGCTAACCCCCTCCTCCCAGTCTTCTCCAAGTTACTTGAAGGAGATCCTGGAGCAGCTTCTTGAAGCCATAGTTGTAGCCACAAATCCATCAGGACGTCTCATTAGTGAACTTTTTCAGAAACTGCCTTCTAAAGTGGTAAGTGATGCAATTAAAGATAGGTGAGTTAAAGTGTGTTTTTGCTTGGCTTGGTTTTCGTTTTCAGTACTTCAGAAAATTTATTAGTTTTTAGTAAATAAGGTAAAGTTAGTGAAAGGCATTGGAGGCTGCCAAGTGATCCTCCTTGAGGCCACAGCAGCAAGCCTAAAGTTGTGGGTTTAAAACAAAATTGTTTTTGATTGGTTATTCTTACTGTTTATCTGTTTTTCTTTTTCTATTGTAAAATATATGTAAGATTTACCAATTAACCATTTTAAGTGTACAGTTCAGTTGAGGTGTAACTACATTCATGTTGTATGTCCATCTCCTTAATTAAAACTCTGTATCCAGGGGCGCCTGGGTGGCTCCGTTGTTAAGTGTCTGCCTTCGGCTCAGGTTATGATCCCAGAGTCCTGGGATCAAGCCCTGCATCAGGCACCCTGCTCAGCCGGGAGCCTGCTTCTCCCTCTCCCACTCCCCCTGCTTGTGTTCCCTCTCCTGCTGTCTCTCTCTGTCAAATAAATAAATAAAATCTTAAAAAAAAAAACCTCTGTATCCATTAAACAATAACTCCCCATAAAATAAAATACAAACAAACAAAAAAACCAATTAACTCCCCACTCCCTCTCAGCCCCCAGCTTCTGGCAGCTACCATTCTGTGTTCTCTCTCTATGAATTTGACTATGCTAAGTACCTGATCATAAGAGGACTCATACAATATTTATCCTTTTATATCTGGTTTATTTCATTTAGCATCATGTATTCAGGGTTCATCCAGGTTGTAGCATGTGTCAGAATTACCTTCTTTTTTAAAGCTAAATAATACTCTTGTGTGCATATACCACATATTATTTGTCCATTCATCTGTCAACGGACACTGGGTTGTTTCCAAGATTGGTAATTCTTAAATAACAAAATAAGTACCTAAACTAAGCCTTTTATTTAATGAAAGAGAAGAAACATTCTCGTTGCTCAGGAGACAGAATGAGAAGAAGATAAATGAGTTCTTCCTCTTTTAGTTCTGATCTGGTGATGGAGAAGAGAGAGATCTAATAGTACTCATCTACCCCAAAGAGGAAGAGGTTTTCTAGACAAGTGAGATCCTTTGAAAGTGGTAGGGCCTCTCATGGCTTCATAACTGAAAGGCAGTGAACATAGCTAAAGTTCCACGGTAGCACATGGAACTACAAAAATTTCCATGGCCTCAGCGTTCTTGTATTTCTAGACAAGGATATACTTTTAGAAGTACTTCACTGTAGCACTTAATTCCATTGTGATCATTTACTTTTTATCTGCCTCCCTCCCATGTCCCTGAATTTAAGAACAAAGATTATGTCCGATTTTCTTTTGTGTCCCTGCCATGTGGTCAGAATCCAGCATGTCACTGGTGTGCAAGAAATGCTTATTGACTGATGAGTGGCTTGCAGCTTTCCCCATCAGTCATGGACAAGACTGCTTATTTAGAGATGTGTCTTGACTAGTTGTAGGACAGTTATCACATTAGAAGTAAAGCATAAGGGCACCTGGCTGGCTAAGTCGTTAGAACATGCAACTCTTGATTTTGGTGTCATGAGTTCAAGCCCCATGTTGGGTGTAGACTTTACTTTAAAAAGTTAAAAAAAAAAAACAAAACAAGCATATATGACCACTACTATTCTAAGTGTGGATCTGATTAGAGAAATACAGAGATTATATTGGTCATATGTTTTAAATTTTAAGAAACTTCAAAAATTAAATATAGAATTACCATAAGATCCAGCAATTCCACTTTGGGTATATACCAAAGGAATTGGAAGCAGGATCTCAAAGAGTGTACACCCATGTTCACAGCAGTATTACTCAAAATAGCTAAAACATGGGAGCAACCCAGATGTCCCTCAACAGATGACTAGATAAATGAAATGTGGTATACACATACAATGGAGTGTTATTCAGCCTTTAAAAAAAGAATGAGGGGTGCCTGGGTGGCTCAGTCGGTTAAAGCGTCTGCCTTCGGCTCAGGTCACGATCCCATAGTCCTGGGATCAAGCCCCGCGTCCCGCTCCCTGCTCAGCAGGAAGCCTGCTTCTCCCTTTCCCCCTGTCCCTATTTGTTCTCTCGTTCTCTCTCTGTCTCAAATAAGTAAATGAAATATTTACAATAAATGAAGAATGAAATTCCGACACATGCTACAATGAACCCGGAACACATTATGGTAAGTGAAATAAGCCTGTCACAAAAGGACCAGTATTACATGTTTCCTCTTGTAGAAGGTACTCAGAATATTCAAATTCATAGAGAAAGTAGAATTGTGGTTTCCAGGGACAGGCAGGAAGGGAGAGGGGGCAGTTACTGTTCAGTGGGTCTGGAGATTTAGTTTGGGAAGATGAAAAGTTTGGAAGACGGATGATGACAATGGTTGCACAATAATGTGAATGTACTTAATGCCACTGAACCACACACTTTTAATGATTAAATGGTAAACCTTTTGTGTATTTAACCACAATAAAAAAACTGTAAGAAAGGAGTATAGTCTTTATTCAAGAACTCTTACTCTGCAGGAGACCATCACCATTGGTCAAGCCACTAAGGGTGACTTGAAGCAATAAAACATTAATATCCTGGGGCACCTGAATGGCTCAGTCAGTTAAGCGTCCTGACTCTTGATCTCAGCTCAGGTCTTTCTCTCAAGGTCATGAGTTCAAGCCCCACATTGGGCTCCATGCTGGGTGTGGAACCTACTTTTAAAACAAAACAGAACCAAAAAACCACACTAATATCCTGTTCCCCCATTCCAGGAGGGCTTTCGGGAACACCATGTAGCAAAAGTTGGTTGGAAAAAGCAGGTTCCCATCGGTCCTTCAGGGTGTGACAGTTTTGAAAGTCGACTGGGACTGGGAGGGGAGGGCAGTTTTTACCTTTCCTTTATGAGCCCTTCCCAAGCTGGACTGGCTGAGTGGGAGAGGGGGATTGTGAATATATAGACCCAACAGCTGGGATTACACTCCACCCCAGCCTGGGTGACCTTGTTATAATTTGTCTTCTGAACTGTTTCTCAGAAGTAGAATTGGTAAAGAAAGGGGCTAGAAAAGGGGTTCGATCCAAGCAAAGAAAAGAGCAGGGTTAAGAAAGTAGGGTAAGCTGAGGAATCAGATGAGAGGAAGCATCCCTGAGATCATGCCTTCAGCCCAGTAACTGAGTGAAGGCTGTAGCCTCCTGCTTTTTGTTGTTGTTTGGGCTTCAAGGACTTGAGCAGGTTGGAAGAGCTTGGAGAACCCACACCTCTCCCCCTTGAGTAGACCAGCTTTTGATTTTTGGTCGGCTTCAGTTGTTTCCTTCTAAGGAACCAAACCTGTAGAAAAGACTTGGGGCAGTGAATGCACTGTGGGCTTTGTTTTTTTGTTTTGTTTTGTTTTTAAAGATTTTATTTATTTGAAAGAGGGCATGCATTCAGGCGAGGGGCAAGGGTGAGGGAGAATCTCAAGCAGACTCTCCGCTGAGTACGGAGCCTGACACAGGGCGCCATCTCATGATCCTGAGATCATGACCTGAGCTGAACTCAAGAGTCAGACACTTAACCAGCTGAGCCACCCAGACGTCCCTGCACTGTGGGCTTTGTGAAACTCTTCAAGAACATTCCTCTAACATACTTCTGTTCTTGTGATGAGATAATATTTGATAAGAAATCAGAAAGTGCTTATAATTTTTTTTTTTTTAAGATTTTATTTATTTTACAGAGAGAATGAGAGACAGAAACAGAGTATGAGCAGGGAGGAGGAGGCAGAGGGAAAGGGAGCAGCAGACTCCCCACCAAGCAGGAAGTCCAATGTGGGGCTTGACCTGAGCCAAAGGCAGACGCTTAACTGACTGAGCCATCCAGGAGCCCCTTTTACTTTGTTTCTTTAATGTAGTTCACTTGAACGTGTTTAGTTTGAAAAAAATTAATTTGACCAAAATAAGTAGAAGCATTAAGTTAAACATGAAGCTAACAAACTTGCAACCTGATGTAGTGTAGATCCTTAAGAATTTTATATGAGGGGTGCCTGGGTGGCACAGTCAGTTAACCATCTGACTCTTAGTTTTGGCTCAGGTCATGATCTGAGGGTGGTGAGATTCAGCCCTGTGTCAGGCTCCACGGTCAGCGTGGAGTTTGTCTGAGATTCTTTCCCCCTTCCTCTTCCCCCGCCCCCGTCCATTCGTGGGCACGTGTGCTCTCTCTTTAAAATAAATAAAATCTTAAATAATAATTTTATATGAAATAGAATAATATTGTGTGATTTAGATTGCAAAATTAAAAGAGCTTATAAGAGCATTCAAAAACATTCATCTCTTTCATTTCCAGGCATAAATATGTTAAATTTAAAATTTGTGATTCTGTGAATTTAGAGTATTTCAAACATTAAATTATGGTGTATTAGTTGAATAATGGCAATTACCAAATACTACCTGTAAACTTGTACAGCGTGCTCTTGTGTATTTCATAAAGCTTGTTAAAATTAAATTCTTTCTGCTTCAGCTATAACAAACAATATACTGTACAGCTGTGACTGTAGCCCTGCATCTGACAGAGCTGTTCAGTTGATGAGCAGGTTGTCAGCGTGCTTTCTTGTTTTCTCATTACCTGGATGCTTTCTCTTACTTAGCATGCCTGGGTTTTTGTCTTCCAGCAATATCCAGACTATTATGCAATAATTAAGGAGCCTATAGATCTCAAGACCATTGCCCAGAGGATACAGGTATGAAGATGACCATATTGTAACCATATATGGTTTAGGGCAGATCAGCCTGAGGTCTTTTTTAGGGGCTTTTAGAAAACAGAAGCAGATGTCTTTGTAAGGGGTTCTTAGCAATATAATAAACAGTTTGGAGTGGTATAACTGATTATCGCTTTGGAGGAGGTAGCATAGTGTCCCTTTTGCATTTTATCTGTAGGGGGGAAAGCAGAATTTTCATTGGCATAGTAAATCTTGCTCTTAGGACAAAAATTAAAAGCACTGGGCATAGACATTTCTGGTTGTGAAAGGCCCATTAGCAGTAAAGCTTTGTTGTTTATTCTTACCTGCTTCCAAATAGTTTGATGTCTCAGAATAAATTACCTTCAGTATATGTTAGAGTGTAAGGTCAGTGGAAACAGAGACTTTGTTCTTCCCGGTATCTCCAGCGATAGCAGCAGCTGACGCTCACCTGGCATTGCTAGGTGCCTGCTCTGTTCGAAGTGCTTTATATGTGTTAGCTAATTCTGACAGCCACTCCGTGAGGTAGATACTATTATCATTCCTGTTTTACAGGTGAGACAGCTGAAGCACAGAGATGGTAAGTCACTGGCTCAAGTCATCAGCTAGTAAGGAGAAGAGTTGGGATTTGGAGCTAGACATTCTGACTCCAGAGTCTGTGCTCTTAACCTCTGCACTGTTACTGCCTCTCCACAGAGTAGGTGCTCAGTAGATGTTTATTGAGTAAATGAATGATGAAATTTAAAACCTGATGATTAGAAGTTAAAGAAGGTGTAGGGAAGAAAGAGCCAAACCTTACCAGAAACCCAGTTTTTAGAGTTGTACCGACATGGGTTACTTTCCTAGCTCTGCTCCTTACTAGCTATATCGCTTCAGTCAGGTGACTTCCTCTGCTCTATGCTGAGTGTAGTGTTACCAGTTTGCAGACTTGGAGGGGGCAGTGATAATGGATGTGAAGCATCTCACAGAGCACCTGTGGGCTGTGGCCTTGATCAGTGTGAGTTTGTGATCCTCCCAGAGTAAGGAGGGTTTGGGGCTCCCAGTAGATAAAATGAAAAGGAAAATTTAATGTGTCACATGGTCTCGTTGAGAAATGAGACTGAAGGCATATGGTTTGCCAGGAGGGAGAAACTTCCTTGGCTTTAAAATTCTAGGAGAGTAGTAAAGAGTAACAGTGTAGTGATGACTGGTACCATAACACACTTCACAGAATGTTAAAATACAGATTCTCTAATGTATCACCTGATTTTTAAGGCAGATCCCTAGCCACTACTGGTAATGACTTAGTCTCCTAAAACTCCTGGGGTTCATAACATCTACCTTGGGGGAAGATGTTTTTGTAATACTGAAATTCACATCAGATCTTTAGACATCCCTACCCCAGCCCCAGCCTTCTCTCTGAGACCTCTCTCCTTGTCTGTTCTTCCTTCCAAAAGCCCCACAGAAGCACCTCCTTTTGTCATCACCCTAAGCAAGATCTTGTCCTCTTATGTCCAAATTACTGTAATAGTCCTTACTACTTCTCTGATGAAAGGCTCTCTGGTCCTTTCTGCATGTTGCTTCCTGACCCTAGTTTTCTTCCTATTTTATTCTTCCTCTCTATTGCACAGCCCAGAGCCTTGTCACTTGTTTCTAGTGCCTCCACTAGCAAATCACAGTTTTGTAGCTGTGCAACGGAAACCAACTCTGAATAACTCCAGTAGAAGGGGAATCCATGAAAAGAGTACCAGATAGCTCATGGAATTGTTGGGAAGGCAAGCTGGAGAACTAGCCTTAGGGAAGTAGGCAGAACTCAGGGATATCATGACACAGCTGAGGTCATGTAGTCTCTTTGTGGTGCCATTGCTGTTCCCAGTGTCATCTGCCACTGTGGGTCCTGGACGCCCACTGCTCCCCTCTGCTTTATTGCCCTTTGCGGGAGGTAGGAACGCATTTTTTCTATTCCCTTGCCCTCACTTTAGTCTCTCAAGGCTCAAGCATGAATTATCTCCCCTTGCCCTGGCTGCCAGGCTGCTAGCAGTGCTATTATCCACTTTTACCCTCTATTGTGGAAAGTAGGTTCCTCCCTAGCACCTGTACTAGGATTTTTTCCAAATAAAGAGGGTGCTCAGGGGTGCCCTGGCTGGCTCGGTCAGTGGAACATGCGACTCTTGATCTTGGGGTTGTGAGTTCAAGCCCCATGTTGGGTGTAGAGATTACTTAAAAATAAAATCTTTAAGAAAAAAGGAAGGTAAACAGAGAGTGCTCAGATGTTGGGTATCCTCACTTGGCAGATCACCAGCTACTCTCCTTTGCCTGGCTGTCTGGATTTTGCCTCATTTGTCCTTACCTATACAGCCTCTGCTTATGGTTCTACCTTCCCTAATCCTCCCCTCCACTTAATTTGGTTTTCTCAGTCTCTCTAGAATGTGTCTGTTCGTTTCTGTGTTCTTCTCATTAATCATGTGTACCTTTTGCTTAAAGTGTCTTCCTCTTTCCTTTTCTTTGAAAATTGAAGGCAGTTCTAAGTCACCCTGGATTATTTGGGATTGAGTGAGCTTTAAGATGTGACAGCTCTAACATGGAGCCTAGTACATAGTAGGTACTCAAAAAATGCAACCTCTGTGCTAGACTATTTTATCTGAAGTGGGCTTTAAAACTAGAGGAGTTTTACTTCACACCCTTAAGTCCACCTTAATGGATTAGTATTCATGAAGTACTTAGAATAGTGCTTGGCACATAGTAAGCACTGTGTGTTTTGCTGAATTAAACAACTTTTACATTATTTGATCTTTAAAAATTATAAATTTTTGTGAAACTAACATAGCTCTGGTTGTTACCTATTCTCAAAAACTTGTGTGTAAATGGACAATTTTAATAGTTTATAAAAGAGAAAATGACTTTATATATTGTTCACATGTGTATTTTCCAATAAAGTCTTTGAGTATGGTGAGAATTTAAAAATATATGGAGTTCTTTTTTTTAAAGGTCATGCTGATTAACTTTCAATTAAGAGGAACTGCTATATTTTGTTGTTTACTCTAGAATGGAAGCTACAAGAGTATTCATGCAATGGCCAAAGATATAGATCTCCTAGCAAAAAATGCCAAAACTTATAATGAGCCTGGTTCTCAAGTATTCAAGGTTAGTTTTTCGCTGTTGTTTTCGTTGGTTAGAGTAGATACCTTAATTTAGAGCCAGCAATTTTTATATAACAACTTTATTGATATGAAATTCACATCATACCATACATTTAATTCAAAGTGTACAATTTAATGGTTTTTAGTCTATTCACAGAGTTGTGCAGCCATGACCACAGTCAGTTAGCAGTCACTCCATTTGCTCCCTGTCTCCCCATTTTAGGAACACTGGCCTGCTTTCTGTCTCTGTGAATTTGCTTATTCTTGGCATTTCATTTAAATGGAATTGTACAAATGTGGTCCTTTGTGACTGGCTTCTTGCACTGAGCATGATGCTTTTAAGGCACTCATGCTGCAGCATGTATCACTTCTTCATTCTTTTCATTGCTAAGTAATACTCCATTGCATTTATATACCATGTTTTATTTACCCACTTATCAATTGCTAGACATTTGGATTGTTTCCACTTTACGGCTATTATAAATAATGCTGCTGTGAACATTCATGTATAAGTTTTTATGTGGACATGGTATTTTCATTTTTCTTGGCAATATACCTAGGAATGACGTTGCTGGTCTACATGTAACTATATATTTAGCTTTTTGAGGAACCACCAAATTGTTTTCCAAAGGAGCTGTACTATTTCACATTTGCATTAGAAATGTGCAAGTGTAATTTCTCCACATTCTAACACTTGTTTTCCATTTTTGTTTTTATGATAGCCATCCTCATGGGTGTGAAGTGGTATCTCATTGTGTTCGAATATCATTTCCCTGATGATTAGTGATGTTGAACATCTTTGTGTATTTGAGCCATTCATATATCTTTGAAAAACTTTTTATTCAGATCCTTACCCCATTTTTTAATTGGGTTACCTGTTTTTTAATTGTTGAATTGTTAGATTTCTTTATATAGTCTGGACATTAGAGTAGATACATGATTTACAAATATTTTCTCCCATTCTGTGGATTGTTTCTACTTTCTACCTGGTAGTGTCCTTTGACACAAAGTTTTTAATTCGTTAAGTCCAGTTTGTCTGCTTTTTCTTTGGTTGCTTGTATTTCTAGTGTCTTGTATAAGAAAGCATTAATCCCACGCCACAAAGATTTACACCTATGTTTTTATCTAAGAATTTTATGGTTTCAGCCCTTAAACCTAAATGTATCCATTTTGAATTTATTTTTGTATACTTGAGGTAGATGTGAGGTAGGGATCTACATTCATTCTTCCACACGGGATATTCATTTTTCCCAGCACCTTCTATTCAAAAGACTGTTCTTTCCCCCACTGAATTGCGTTGGCACCCTTGTTGAAAATCAGTTGACTGTAGGTGTATGGGTTTATTTCTGGAATCTCAGTTCGATTCCATTCATTTATATATCTATGTTTATGCCAGATGTAAGGTTTGTTTTTGATCTACTTTTTAGTTAAATATTGATTTAGTCTCTCCTTTAAACTTCATAAATATAAAAAGCAATTTCTGTAGTGCAACACGCAATGTGAAATGACCATTTCATTGCTTTGCAATTCTCTCCTAGAAATTTTGTACTCCTATAACACAGTTGCTTCTAGACATTTCTTGAATTAATAATATGTCATTGGGAATTTAGCAGAGGACTCTCAGAAAACCTTTTGGGAGTAAAATTATTTTAAACTTTCAAAATGCTGCCTCAAATATAGTTGCTTTTGGTAGTTAACCTACCTTTCACCTTTTAATAAACTTTCATCTTTTAAGAACCTTCGAGTGAAAATCGGAAACGAGCTATGAAATTCCTGTATTCTTAGTCCTTGATAGGACAGTAATAGTAGAGTACCAATAATTTGTTGATGCAGTTAGGTTGTACTTTTTGGTCTATTTTATCTAAAATAAATTTTAGAAGGGAAACTAGATTTGATATATTAATATGCTATTGATTTAAGCAAGTACATTCATCCTAAATTTGTGTGCATAGTCTTTAATCTTAGAAGTGTATCTTTGTATCAGTTTTTAGGTCAGTGGACACAGAGTTGATTGTATTTTCACCCATTTTGCCTTGTTCACTGTTAGATCTTTTTGCATTACTTGACTAATTGTGAAAGAGCTAGGAGGCTTTTTAACTTATGTATCATTGTGATGATGTTTTCAAAGGTTGTGGAAAGGTTAGAGGATGCAGCTTTATGGATAGTAAATGGAAACCTACTCCAAATGGAACAGTGCCATAGAAAGTGTCCAGTGCATGACTGAGGGCATTTTAAACTGTCCTTTTTTTCCTAAACCAAGTAATTTTATCTTGACAGGATGCAAATTCTATAAAAAAAATATTTTATATGAAAAAGGCAGAAATTGAACATCATGAAATGGCTAAGTCAAGCCTTCGAATGAGGTATGTTTTTAAAATGTCTATAATCGGGGCTCCTGGGTGGTTCAGTCAGTTAAACATCTGCCTTTGGCTTGGGTTATGATCCCGGGGTCCTGGGATCGAGTGCCACATCAGGCCCCCTGCTCAACAGGGAGCCTGCTTCTCCCTCTGCCCTTCTCCCTGCTCGTGCTCGCTCTCTCTCTCAAATAAATAAAATCATAAAAAATAATAAAATGTCTAAAATCCTTGTGCCTTTATTATTTACCAAATTTTCTAGCTGGTGGAATCAGTGCAGTGGAAAACAGGATGTATGTTGCATTTGAAAATTATATTTACAGTTGATAACGTGATTCTGAGGAGAATAGATATAACTCTTACTCGGCCCTTCATTGCAGCCGGAAGGCTTTATTTAAAAACAAATGATTTTGGGTATGCCTGGGTGGCTCAGTTAAGGGTCTGCCTTCAGCTCAGGTCATGATCCCAGGGTCCGGGGATCGAGTCCCATGTCGGGCTCCCTGCTCAGCGGGGAACCTGCTTCTCCTTCTCCCTCCTGCTTCCCATGCTTGTACTCACTTGCTCTCTCTCTGTCAAATAAATAAAATCTTAAAAAAAAAATTTCATAACAATTTTTGAGGCTAAACACTATTATCTGCTCTTATTGCTATATACATGTTTATATGTAACATGTATTACATATAAGTGTATATAACATAAGCATATACAGGGGCGCCTGGATGGCTCAGTCGTTAAGCGTCTGCCTTTGGCTCAGGTCATGGTCCCAGGGTCCTGGGATCGAGCCCCGCCTCAGGCTCCCTGCTCCTCAGGAAGCCTGCTTCTCCCTCTCCCACTTCCCCTGCTTGTGTTCTCTCTCTCGCTGTGTCTCTCTCTGTCAAATAAATAAAAATTAAAAAAAAAAAAACATATACATAATATTATATTTGTGTGTAAAATATGATAGTATATATTTATATCGGCAGCGAGAGCATTTAGCCAGATGTCAGGAGATCTAAAGTCTCATCCTGGCTCTTTCTTGTGCAAGGACTAGGACTTTGAACAAGTCTGACTTCTGGGATTCCATTTCCTCCTTCGAGAAATGGAAGCTGGAGTGACTGCTTTCAAAGCCTCTGACCCTGACATTTCCTTCATTACCAGATCCTTGGTCACTGCAGGGACCATAAGCTCTCCAGGACCAGCCCTTGCCCATTCTCTTCAGCAGAGTCCTCAGGTTTTGGAGCAAAGCCTGCTGTATAGTAATGGCTCAGAAATATATGAGCGTTTTTACTTAGAAAAAAACAACAACAAAAGATGGTTGCTTCCTTTTTGTTTACCCACCATTCTGATTTCAGCTGTCAATTTTCTGAGTTTCTTTTTATCTTATTTCTGGATAGGACTCCATCAAATGTGGCTACAGCCAGGCTGACAGGTCCTTCACACAGTAAAGGCAGCCTTGGTGAAGAGAGAAATCCCACTAGCAAGTATTACCGGTGAGAGAGTGAGTGTGTTTAGTCTGAGAACTGACCTTGTTTATGACACTAGGCTTACTAGTGTTTCCCAGATGGCTATCATGAAGTAATTCTTTGGGATATGATTGGGTTATTATGTTAAAAGGTTGAGGTGCTATAGTAGGCCTGACCTGACTTCTGGAAAATGCTGAAGCAGAAGTTATTTGTCAGGTAGTGTTTAATATTTCCAGTAAAATAAATTGTGATCAAATACTAAAAGATTTTTGTATTCAAAATAGAATTTGTGTTCATTGTAGAATATGAACACCTTAGAAGAGAATTAACCAGTAATGATGAATGAATCTTTATTTTTTATAAAATAAGGAGTAGTGTTGCATTTAAGTAACACACAATTGAAAGTAGCCTATTTTAGGCTTTCTACACCATTCCCTCTTTTTTGAGAGAAAAAAAAATTGGTCTTGGCTAAGATTGATTATGGGGACTATAAAATGTACAAAGATAAATTGATCACAAACAGTTGAATAGAAGTTCTTTTTCTTTGATGTGAATGCTTTGTTAACAGTTCCTGTTTCGTGTAAAGTAACCAAATGATTATAACATCTTTCCTTGTCTTCTGATTGCTTGTTTTTCTTTGTAGTAATAAAAGAACAGTCCAAGGGGGTCGTTTGTCAGCAATTACCATGGCACTTCAGTATGGCTCAGAAAGTGAAGAGGATGCTGCCTTAGCTGGTAGGCATTAGGTTGTGACTAGTTAATGCCTTCTCAGTGGATCTTCCAGTGAAGGAAGATTAAAGTAACTTTGGTCTGGCTGGGAGTTCGTCCATTTTTGGAGTACATGCTGTTTTGTTTGCACTCTTTGGTTGGCAGACTTATCAAAACCTTATTTTATGTTACAGCTTGTATCTAAGTAAATAAATACTTCTATAAAAACAATTGGTTTGCTAGCCTTAGCAGATCCTGTTTTCAAGCGTATAATGATAAATAGTGAGTGAGTACTAGTGATGCCATTGGGAAACCCAATGGAGACATTCATACCATCTTAGATTTCCAGGCCACTGGCTTATATTTTCAGTAGGCTATAATTTCTTCTTGGCCAGAGCTTCTGATTTAAAGATAGATGTTAAAAAAAAAAAAAATAGATGTAAATTACAATCAGCGCAGCATAGTCAGTTGTCATTTAAACAAGTCCAGCAAAGGGCATTGGGCAATAAAATCCACGTAAAAGTATACTATCTGTTAAATAGCGAAGAACATACCTGTAGAGGTATGTTTGATTTCATTGTCTTTCTCTGCAGTGTGATATAATGTTCTTTATTTTACTACAGATAATGTTTATATGTACAGATAAAATTTGTTTCATGAAATTACTCTGGCATATTGTCTGATTTCATAATCAAGTAGGAGGACAGATTTTTCTACCTGTGTCTTATTTTCTGTTAAATCTATAGAAGTTTCATAATTACTGTAGACTACTTACTAAGAGTATAAATTTAATTTTTTTGACACTCATCTACAAAACTTTTTTTTTTTAACTTAAATCAGGTCTGGTGTTATCAAAAATTGAAGGAAAATTTGTTTTTATTAGCTTTGTTTTTTGCTTGTTATAAAAGTGACACACATGTTTAGGTTTCCTTCTAACATTTGGTTACTTTATTAACCTTATAAGTAGCGTAACAAATTGAAGGAAAACCCACCTAAAAAGTATTTATTGCTTTTTTTTTTCCCCTAACAAATAGTACCTTTGTCACACGAGGGTTCTTATTTAGTGACCTTAGCTATTAAAACAAAGTAAATGCCAATCAACTTTGTATGTAGTAGATCTTTCAGGCTGTTCTGCATAGCTGTTTATCCTTGATTTAGGCAAGATTCTGATCTGTTTGGTTTCTACTTCCTGCTGCTGGAAACAACTTAGGGGATAGGGTACAGTGAAAATAGCAAAGAAAGGATAACTGATGATCTTGGAGCAACAAGAAAAAGCCCATGGAAAGAAGGCATAAGAATCCAGAAAGTGTGGCCTGTCTTCTTGAGGTGATTTGTTTTAGAGACAAACCATACTGTGCAGCCTAGGGCAGGTAGAGAAGAGCGCCCACTTGCAGTAACTCTAAGAACAGAAATGGGGTGGGGAATAGAATCAGAAAAACAGATCAACCTTTCAGTCCTCCCCCACAAAAATAAAATAAGATAGGAAGGCAAAAAGAAACAGAAAAAGTGAGACAAATGGAAAGCATAAAGATGAGAGAAACAACTCCAAAAATTATATCAGAAATCACATCAGTGTTGATGACCCAAATTTGCCAACTGTAACAGTTTTAGATTAGATTTTTTTAAAAAATCAGGTTGTATGCTGATTACAAGAGACACATTTAAAATGTAGAAATAGAGGAAAGTTTAATGTAAAAGGATAGAAAAAGATACACGGGGCAAATAATAACCAAACGGTAGTTACATTGACTTCTGGTAAAATGGACTTTCAAACAAAAAGCATTACCAAGGATAAAAAGGATTCACCTCATAATGATAAAAGGTTTATTTCATCAGGAAGATAAATTATTTAAAAAGCTCAAAATATATAAAACAAGCAAATAGAAGGTGGCAGAGAAAGTGAAAACATTGCCCTAGAGTGGGAGTTCACTGCTTTCCATTGCTAGATAGGCAGCCAGAAAACCAGTGAAGACAGAGATGATTTGAGTACACAATGTTTATTTCTCACAAGTGTATTTGTTTCCTATTGCTGCAAAAACAAATTACCATAAACTTAGTGGCTTAAAACAACACAGATGTATTCTCTTTGATTCTGGAGGTCAGAAGTCAAAAAGCAAGTTGTTGGCAGGCCAGTGTTCCTCTGGAGGCTCTAGGGGATAAAATGTTTCCTCTCCTTTTCTAATTTCTAGAAGCTACCTGTATGCCTTGGCTCATGGCTCCTTCCTCTCTAATCAGAATGCAGCACTCACAATCTCTGTATCTGTCATCTCATCTCCTTTTCTCCTTTGACCTTGCCTGCCTCTTATAAGGACCCTTGCAATTACATTTAGTGCTTAGAGTTTAATCCAGGATAATCTCCCAAGTTCAGGATCCTTAACTTAATCATATCTGCAAAGTCTCTTTTGCCCTATAAGGTAATAAATATTCATAGGTTCTATGGATTAGGACTTGGATGTATTAAGGGGGGCTATTCAGCTAACACAACAAGATGGATATAATTAGGCAAGTATTCTGCAGCTAGAAAATACATGTTCTTCTCTGATTCTTGTGGAACAATCACAAAAATTGATCATGTACTTAGCCATGAAACAAATTTCAACCGGTTTGAAAGTTAGGTATTTTATAGACATATTTCTGACCATAATGCAGCCATGATAAGCACCTAATCTTGAAAAGGTGAAAGTTAAAAACCCAAACACTCAGGAAATGCAAAAGTCTTCAAATGTTTGGGTTTCTCTTTTTAAAAAGGAAAAATTATAATGGAAATTCAATTACCTGAGATTGAACAATAGCAATAATGAAAATAATATATATCAAAACAGTGGGGACGAAGCTAAAGCTGTATTTTGGAGGAAAAGTAACAGGTCTGAATGTGTCTATTTAGAAAAGCAGCTGAAAGGGGTGCCTGGGTGGCTCAGTCATTAAGCGTCTGCCTTTGGCTCAGGTGATGATCCCAGGATCCTGGAATTGAGCCCCGCACTGGGCTCCCTGCTCAGCAGGAAGCCTTCTCCCTCTTCCACTCCCCCTGCTCGTGTTCCCTCTCTCGCTCTTTCTCTCTCTGTCAAAATAAATAAATAAAATCTTTAAGGAAAAAAAAGCAGCTGAAAATGAACTAGGGGCGCCTGGGTGGCTCAGTTGGTTAAGCGTCTGCCTTCAGTTCAGGTCATGATCTCAGGATCCTGGGATCAAGCCCCACGTCAGGCTCTCTGCTCAGCAGCGAGCAGTCTCCCTCTCCCTCTGTGATCTCTCTCATTCTCATTCTCTCAAATGAATTAAAAAAAAAAAAAAGTAATGAACTAATAAGCATCCAAAATAAGTAAATAATAAGAGAATAAAAGCAGAGACATTAGCAGAAAAGGTAAGAAAAAAGCTAAGAGCACAAATGAATTTGTTAGAAAGGAAACCTGTGGTAGAAAAGATCAATAAGGTTTTTCTGTTAAAACTATTAATAGGCAAATCTGTGGTGAGATTATCAGGAAAGAAACAAGGCACAAATAAAACTAGGGGAAACAGGGAGCATACAGATTTAAAATAATGTATGAACAGCTTTATGCTAACAAATCTGAACATTTAGATGAAATGGGCAAATTCTAGAAAGTGACAAATGCCTAAAATTGATTCAAGAATAAAAAGACTGGGGGCGCCTGGGTGGCTCAGTCGCTTAAACGTCTGCCTTCAGCTCAGGTCATGATCTCAGGGTCCTGGGATCAAGCCCCACATCAGGCTCCCTGCTCAGTGGGAAGCCTGCTTCTCCCTCTCCCACTCTGCCTGCTTGTGTTCCCTCTCTCACTGTCAAATAAATAAAATCTTTAAAAAATAAATAAATAAAAAGACTGATTAGTCTTACCACCATTAAAGAAATTATTAGTTACAAATCTTTCCCCATAGAAAACACCAGGCCAAACATTCAGGGAACAGAAGTATATACAAACTACTGCAGAGAATAGAAAAAGAGCTCCTTAGTTCATTCTATCAAAATGATAGAACCTAGATACCCAAACTCAACAAAAATAAGCACACTGCATCTAGCAGCATATATAAACGATAATGCATGATAACACAGTTGGGTTACTCCAGGAATACTAGGTCACTTCAGCATTAGAAAAAGTTAAAGTACCATTAACTATATTAATGCTTTCAAAGAGTAAAGCTGTAGTATTGGCTCAGCAGATGCATTTGATAAATGCTTCAATTCCCATTCATGATGAAAACTTAACAAATTAGGAATAGAAGGGGATCTTTCCTAACTTGATAAAGAGCACTTGTTTTTAGTGGAGAAATACTTGTAGCATTCCCTTTACCATAAGTTAAAATGTTGTTACCTCTTTTGGTCAAAATACTAGCCAGCTGACAGTGACAACAATGAAGGAGTAAGAATCAGAAAAGAAGATTTATAAGGATTGCAGTTGAAAGATTGTTTTTTGAGTTTTTTACTCAAAAGACTGTACAGGTAAATTATTGGAATTAATAATAATAA